AGCTGAGGTGGCTCGGGCATCTGTTTCGGATGCCTCCTGGGCGCCTTCCTAGGGAGGTGTTCCGGGCATGTCCCACCGAGAGGAGGCCCGGGGCAAGACCCAGGACACGCTGGAGGGACTATGTCTCTCGGCTGGCCTGGGAACGCCTTGGCATTCCCCAGGAGGAGCTGGAGGAAGTGTCTAGAGAGAGGGAGGTCTGGGCATCTTTGCTTGGACAGCTGCCCCCGCGACCCAGTACTGGATAAGCGGAGGAAAACGGATGGATGGATAACTTACACTTTCTGGGGATATATCGACATACCCTGCAGATAAACGTCCGCAACGCTCTGACAAATAACAGAAAAAGATGTTCCTTATAACTCCATAACTCGGCCCAGAATAATTACTTTTTATGAGTTTTCTTCACTATCAAAGTAATTTTGGTGTTAGTACAGCCAGTGGTACGAACTCGGCTTCAGCATAAGTTACTTACTTTTACAAAATGTAAGGTTAAACAAATATAAACTAACAAACGTCGTAGCCAACAGTGTCACTCGCTGAAATTTTGATTACATCATACTTTGTTTTCTGTAAAAGTTCACGTGTTGGTGTAACATTATACGAAATATTCCGTGGAAAAAATATCTAGCGTTAATTTCACACGTGAGACATTTTTACGACAACTGTGACAAACCTAACACTGTTTACGACAGTTCCCTGCCATTTCTGGCATAAACACATGAGCGGCTGAATTCATCGGAGGTCAAAAGTTATGGTCGTAATCTTCAGCCAAAGCGAAACATAACACAAACATGGTATTTTGGACTTTTTATTTACCAACTGGAGAAATAGTCGTAAAACTGCTGCAAGCTAACGAGTCTGATTAAATTGTTTGACAATGTTCATTTTATATGGCTAAGCTAACATTAGCTTTAACGAATGGACGTGGCCAGTAAGGACTTTAACGATTAACGTTAATTTACCGCTAATACCCAGCCAAGCAAAAATATTTTTTATGGTAAAAAAAAAAAAAATCGGCAGCAGTGGTTTAACATAAATGTAGCTAACAGTTTATGTTTGGCTTCACAGCATACCGCAGTTTCTTCCTGTGCCATTTGTTCACATTGCAATTGCAGGGCAGCTTGTTCGTAGGTGAAAATCTGTGCTCGCGTCATTTTGGTTATATTCACCCCTCTTTCTCTCTCTGTAGGCCAGTTCCATCGTGGCAGTGGGACTGGCTATTGCAGCAGCTGGATTTGCAGGTAAGTAACTCCAGTGAAAGCTAACGTTAACTTAAGGAAGATTTACAAAGTCTAAATAAGAAAATCAAGTCAACCTTCTTCCTCTATAATGTTATTATAGCTTTTTTCTTAACAGTAAGAAAATGATTCACTGGTAAGGGAAATGGAATACATACATACATACAGGTGACAAATAAAAGTAAAAACCTGATCAAAGGAGATCATTAGAACACGAGGGGTTGCTGAGTGGTTTGATGAGTATGAATCATATGCTATGACCTTCACAGTGACCAGGTCTCAACCCAGGTGAACGCCTATGGGATGATTTGGAGTGACTTGTTAGACAGCATCTCCACCACTACCATCAAAACACTAAATGAGGAAACATCTGTTGGAAGAACAGTGTTCATCCCTACCACTGAAACCGCATGCTTTCCTTCATGTTTGTCTCCCAGGTCGCTATGCGATGCAGGCCATGAAGCAGATGGAGCCTCAGGTGAAACAAGCCCTCCAATGCTTCCCTAAGACGGTAAGAAAGAAGACATGCACACAAGAGGTCTGTCTCCAAATGGAAGTAATGCATGCCCTAGATCTGTTTTAAGCTCTCACTTTAATTTTAATAAGTGCTCCTGCTAGTAATAACTAGTCAACATCAGTCACTGCCATGGTGAGCTGTAACTGTAGATGCTGTTGCAGGCTTTTGGAGGAGGGTACTACAGAGGTGGATTTGAACCGAAGATGACCAAGAGAGAAGCTGCCCTTGTTTTAGGTGTCAGGTATGTGTTGCTCTTGACCTCATCATTAACTCATCCCAGCACCAGTTATATGTTATGGTCTATCCAGTCATATATAAAGGGATTTGGTTTGGTCTTGCTGTTGTCTGCCACTGTACTCTCTACAACATAAACTACTGATTATTATTT